CATTACAACAAAGATATTTGTATCAGAATGTTTATTGCAGCCCAATTCCTAATTGCCAGGTCATGGAAGAAGCCTAAGTGCCCATCGATCCACGAATGGATCAAGATATTCAATTTTCAATAAGCTCAATGGAAAATGCCCGTCATGACCTCATTACCACTTGCTATCCAGGCTTCTTTGCTGCTGGCATGTGCAAGCTACTCTTAAGATAGAAAAACTGTCTCGATAGTTAGGCACTTACTTTGACTGTACTGTTTCTTGTTTGGGATATAATAAATTAAACTTTTGATCTGAAATTGGGCATTTCATATTTAATGACCTAATAGATGACTGGATGACTATCTTCTCTCTGTACCTTCACAGGTTCTTTCCTCCTAATCTCTCTTTATAAGAATTCCAGTCATATTAGATTAGGGTCCACCCAAATGGTCTCACTGAACCTTTTTTTTTTTTTTGGCAGTTTTTGGCTGGGGCCAGGTGGGCCACCCACCACCCCCGGCACATAGGGGCTGGCGCCCTACTCCTTGAGCCACAGACACCGACCATGTCTCATTGAATGTTAATTTCCTTGAGTCACAGACGCTGCTCATGTCTCAATGAACGTTAATTTCCTCTTTAGGTTCTAAATACAGTCATAATCTGAGGTACTGGGGGTTGGGGGGGATACAAATAAGTCCACAATAGTTACTATGAATAAAGCTGCTGTGAACATTTTTATATAGATTTTGTTAATGTACAGTTGTCCAAACTGGTTGAACCAATTTACACCCCCCAATGGCAATGTGACTGTTCCAGTTGCTCTCTATCCTCAATAGCCACTTCATTTTACAGATGACAAGATGAAGAAAAAGACCCACAGAGATGAGGTGCAAGGCTCATTTTCCCATAGGTAGATCATGAGCTTAAGTAGGCAGAGCTAAGGAAGCCCTATCCCCAACCAGCTTTAAGAATTTCTAAAATTTCCCAGCACATTCAGTCATTCATCACAAAGAACACCCAGAACCACCTGTGGCTCAGGTCCTGCACCAGGCTCTGGAAATGAGGTGGTGAACAGAGAGTCAGAAAACATACTTAGGTGGGAGCAACAGTGAACGCAACAACTGAGTAATCACAGATCATGACAAGCACTGGGCAAGAACTCAAAAGAACCTGAGGAGGAAAATAAGGGGAGTAGGGGTAGGGAGAGACAAATCACCTTCAGATGGGTTGCTCTGAATGGACAGATAGGAGAGCCCCAAAAGATTAGAAGGTGCCTTTGGACAAAGGCCAGGGGAAGCGCTGAGGCAGAGAGAATAGGAAGAGCACAGCCCTTGAGGTAGAAGCAGCTGTGAGGAGGGCAGGGAATGACAATCTGTGTAACTGGAGCCCAATGGGTAAGGATGGAGGAGAGGCAGGAGATGAGGTCCAGAGGGCTGGTGCCCAGACCCCACAGGGCTTGCATATCATGTTTGGATTTCATCCGAAGGCCAATGGAAAACCAATGGAAGGTCTCAGAAGAGGGACAAGCGAGAACCAGCTGACATTAACAAATGGATTGTACAAGAAAGAAGCAGGTACACTCTTTAGGACACTCTTGCCTGGGTGGCAATCACGGTTATGTCAGTGACAGACTCAGGAGGTGACAGAAGAGATATATTTTGGAGGCAGACTTGATAGGCCACGGAGAGGGGTTGGGTAGGCCTGTTGAGGAGAGGGGATGAGTCAAGGCTTATGTCTATGTTTTGAGCTTTGAACCTCCATATAGCGGGCAAGGATCTTTCAGCTATAATCCACCAATCCCCAACTGTGCACTTCTCTTGTCCATCTCATTATTGTACACTTGAACCTCAGGCCATAGTGGGTATCCAATCAACAGCCTTGAATAAATAACTCATTGCATGCATGAATGTTTTAGCCCATGGAATGTGTTCAATAAAGGTTTATTTTTTCTTTTGAATTTTTTATTGAGGTAAAATCCATATAACATCAATCAAAGTGTCTTGTTCTCTGGCAGTTAGTACATTCACAATGTGATGCAACTATCACCTCTAATTCTAAAATATTTTCATTCCCCCCCTCCAGAGGAGTACCTGTACCCACAAAGCAGTTCCTCATCCTTTCTCTCCTTTCTCCAGACCTAGACAACCACAAATCTGTTTCCTGTCACTGTGGATTTACCTATTCTAAATATTTCATGTAAATGTAATCATATCCTATGTGACCGCTGGGTCTGGCTTCTTTCATTAGCATAATGTTTTTGATATTCATCCACACTACAAGGCGTATCAGAACTTCATTCCTTTTAATAGCTAACTAATATTCCATTCTCCGGATATGTCACGTTTTGTTCATCTGTTTTCCCTGGACAGACATGTGGGCTGTCTCCACTTTGGCTTCTGCAAACACTGTGGTATGAACATTTGTTTGAATACCTGTTTTTATTCCGGGTATACACCTGAGGAGTGGAATTGCTGGTCCTATGTCAATCTATGTTTAACTTTTTGAGGAGTTAAACATAGATTGAACATCAAACTGTTCTCCAACAGCACAATAAGGTTTCAACGGAAAAAAAAATGAAGAAAGAAGAGATACGTGGGAGCCTGGGAGGCAGGATGAGGGCTGTTCCTCTCCTTCACAGGCATCACTGGACTCTGCCATTTACAGGCTGGGTGATCTGGGTCAAATTATTTCGATTCTCTGGGCTGCCTCCTGATCCTCAAAGTGGGGGAAATAAAACTTCTGTGAACTGAGTGGAACATTGTTTCCGAAGCTCCAGACATAGAGTAAGCCCCCCGAATTAATCGCCTTCCCTAACTCCCTGACATTGCCTCTCCACTCCCTCGGAGCACAGACCACGCCCGCGGCCCCAGGTCAGGCCCACTGCAAACTACAACTACCATGAGGCACCGCTCCCGGCCGGCGCTCGCGGCCGGCTGCGCATGCCTTGGCAGACGTGGCACCGGGAACTCGGAGGCGGGGAGAGGCTGGGAAGTGGCCGTGGCTGTTGGCCGCGGTGGAGCTAGCGGGCGGGCGCAGGAGCCCGAGCGGAGCTGCAGCCGGCGGTGGGCAGCGGCGGTGGGGATGGCGAGGGCCGGGCGAGCGTGGCTGCTGCTGGCTATCTGGGTGAGGCTACGGGGCGGAGGCCGGGCCGGGGCCGGCACGTGCCCCCCGTGTGCCCTTCTGCGCTCTCTGTCCCCAGCCTTCTCCTGGGCGCGCGTGCGGCTGCCTCCCGCGCCGGGTTTGGGGCGTGCGTGCCGGGCAGGCGGGCACCCGGTGGCCACGCGGGAGGCAGCGAGGCGTCCCGGTGCCGTGCCCTCTGAGCGCTCCGGGGCGCAGGGGCACAAGGCAGCTGTGGAGACCTGAGTGATCTCGCGCAGGGTGCTCGTGCCGGGGGCATAAGTTTGTGGGGGGCGGCCACCCTCTAGGGCGGGACACCGGCGGGCTGGGGAGGTGCGCCCCGCCCCAGACTCCGAGTCCTGCACCTGTGTGAGTGCAGCGTGGGGCGGGGTGCTTTCCACCTGCACTGCCAGAAACCTTGTTTTAGGACCACCTTATTCTTGGTTTCGACCCCAAGCGGCTGGGAAACTGCGGGTCACCACCTGGGCCTCCGCCCACAGGCTGCGCTGGGCGGGGTGGGTGGGGTCGTAGCTGCCGGCCCGGGCGAGGAGTTCCGCGGGTACACCCGCCTGAGGTTGGCTTCAGCCTCAGCCACTTTCCTAGCTGTGTGGCGGGGCGGCTTATTTAGCGTATCTGAACTAGTCTACTCATCCGTGAAATAGGGACGGTAAAGATACCCCCCTAGGTGGTCTTGAGGGTGCGATGATATTGGAGGAGGAAGCTCTGTAGGCTGCACAGCCTTACCTGAGTAGTGGGGGGTGGGGCTCCGAGAGGAGTTTGCTACACTTAGGGGGTTGGGGTGTGTGTGTTAGACGTGGTTTGGCCTTGGTGTTGCTGTCCGTGTGTGATGGGGTATCTGGTCCTCCTTCCTCATCTCTCCCATGACTCTGGTCTCCTTTACTTTAAGAACATCCTGGCACTTTTTTCTTAAAGTTTCTGGGAACTTCCTGCTCTCCGCACCCTGACCAAGCCAGAGTTTTTCAGTTAATTTCCATTTGGGTGTGGCAAGGAGCTGGGCAAACAGGAGGAGAAAGAGTGTCGTTTGAATTGCTTGAAACACTTGCATCTCCCCTTTTCACCAGTGAGGAGTGGATGTGTCCCCCTTAGGTCTGCACTCTCCTTCTGGGAGAGCATTGGGCTGGAGTGAGACAGAGTTACTTCACTGTGTCTGGGTGTGTTTGTTGGAGGTTCTGTTTGCCATCATTTTCCTGGAGCCAGATGGTCTGGGTAGGTCTCTGGGCCAGGAAGGACTATGCAAAGGAGACAGCCATCTCCTGTGAGACCCTCATCAGGTCTTTGCATTTGAGTTATTTGAGGAGATACCGATTTCCTCTTTTCGTCCAGCCTTCCTGGGAAAACAAATGGCTTGGGAATCTGAAGTTTCATTCAGCAAACATTTATTTTGGATTTTGGGTGAGGACCAAAGTGCACATTGTGCTTGCCCTCTAGTGTTGCCCTGGATGGGTGAGGGAGTCAGTCCTGTGAGCCAATAATGACAGAACAGCAAGTGCTAATACCCTAGGCACCAGTGGCCTCTGCTAAATGGGAGCCATATATTAATTTAGAGGGAGGGTCAGCCATGGCTATCCTGAGGCGGTGGGTTGAACAGAGTCTGGAAGGAGTGTGGTAGTAAGCTAGGCAGTGGAGGTCTGCCGGTACCCTCCAGGGGAAGGTGCAGAAGAGCTGGTAGGTTTACTGGGAGCACTGGGAGTCTCCAGCAGAAAATGTTTATCTTCTCCTTTCCCTAAATCCCTAGAATTGGCTTAGCAGGTTGGAGGTGGAGAGAGCAAGCCAACAGGGGCAGTAGTAAGTGGCTTCTGGATGCCAGGTTGGGCCTCTGTAAACATAAATGCTGTGTCTGATAAGGGCTCTCCATGTCCCTAGGAGCCAGTTGGGTTTTTTTGTTCACTAAGTATTTACTGAGGGATGATGTATGCACAGCACTGGGCTGTGACCTGAAGGGTAGAAGGAAGTATAAAGGCATCTGTAGAGATTAGTGTACAGGGATATATATACCTACCACATAGCAAAAATATGGAACTGGCTTAAATGCACAACAGGAGGGGCATGGTTAAATGATATCTGGCTTTATCCATACCGTGAAAAGTGCTATTTGTCTTTAGCAGTTTGACCTACTGTGGTAAATATCCTGTAGACTGGGTAGCATATAAATAAGAGAAATAAATTTTTCACAGTCCTGCAGACTAAAAGTTCAAGACACGGTGCCAGCATGGCTGGCTTCTAATGAAGGATGTCTTCTCCATGTGGAATGTCAACTTCTCATTGTACTCTTATGAGATAGAGGACTAGAGAGCTCTTGTGGGTCCCGTTCTTAAGGGCACTAATCCCATTCATGAGGGCTCCATCCTCTCTATCTCCTAATACTGTCATATTGGGGGTAAGGATTTCAACAAATGCATTGGGAGGGAACATAAATGTTCAGTCCATTGCAATATTTATAAAGAATATATTTACTAGAATGTTATGTTTATTATTACAATATTTTATGATGTATATGAAAAGTATCTAAGGATGTGGGAAAAGTGCTCAAGTGTAATAACTAGAGGAAAAGCAGGATATCAAACCAAATCCCAGGGTGGTTGAAGTTTTGTGTATGAAGAATTAGCAGTGTATCAAATGTTAACAGTGACTTTTCTGGAAGCTGGAGTTGTGGATGACTTTTGCTTCTTTGCTTATGCTTTCTTTTGTTTTCCCAGTGAATTTTTCACAATGAATACATATTAGTTTATAATCAGAAAAGTTAATAAAATTAAAAAAAAAAGTGTTCTTTGGGGGCCCTCAGCCTTCCAGAAGAACACTGCAGTGGGAGGTATAAAGTGTCAGAGTGAACACTTAGGACAAGTGAGTCTCAAGAGACTCTAGGCTGAGTGCCTCTGTCCTGGAGATGGAGGGTGGGGGGTGGGGGAGCTGTGGCTAGGGAGGTCTGCTGCCCATCCCTGCTGTCCCATCCAGCTACTCCCTGCAGCTGGCCCTTCCGTAGGGCCATCCATGCTGGATGTCTGTAGTCTCCTTCTAGTCTAGAATGGAGAAGTGCAGAGCTAGAGAGAGGTCTAGATCTCCTTAATTGGTGGTTCTCAAACATCAGGCCAAGAACTATGGTGAAGTGTTCATTGGTCCAAAGATAAAGTGGAAAAATAACAATGAATCCAAATATTATCAGTTTAAAACCTAGCTCATTTTTCTAATACAATGTCCATATTGGGGGAGGTGGTGTTATAGTATCCTTTTGAAAAATGAAACTTGTGCTAGTATATTGTCATTTCTTTTTAAAAGGTCCTTGACAAAATTTGTTTAAAACAAATACAGCATTTGTTATATTTTAAACTATGCTTTAAAAATAAATTCTGCCAATCTGTGAGATTTAGGTTGGTCTAACATGGCTGTGTCCACTTACTCCGCACCACCCAGTCAGTAAAGGTGGAGCTGGGAGTAGGGCCAGCCCTGCTGAGTTATAAATTGGGTTCTTGCCTCTCCTCTATCTTCCACCTGCTCCCTACCTTGCCCTGCTCTGCCCTGCCAGTGTGGGGAGATGCAGGAGGCAGATGTTTGCTCATAGTCTCCCCTGCAGAGCTCTTAAAGGTACACTGATTTAGGTTCCGTACTTCTTTGGGACTATTATATATTTAATAGGCTTTTGTGGGTTTGCCTAGGGACATAATTGCCATCTGTAATGCTGTTGGAACCTGGAGTGCACTCTTCCCACAGAAATAAACACATTACTGCGGAAGTCTTAGAACAGGCTGGTGCACGAGGTAGAAGTATGGCTGAGTGCCTATGATATGCTAATGCTGAGTGCTGATCAGCACAGGGCTGGACAGTGGGGCATCAAGCCACCAGCAGGCTGCAGGAAAGAGCTAGGCGGGAGCTGGCTCCTCAAGGAGGGCAGACTCAAGTTCTGTGATGGCAGGGATCCTCCTGTCCTGGCATCGCATCCTCAGCACCTGGGCCAGGGTCTGGCACGCAGTGGGCACTGGTCCGGGTTTGGCGGAAGCAATGAACGTTGCAGGCAGGGAAGGAAACTTTCCACGCCAGAGATATGGGAATGAGGAGTGATGGGCCAGGCTGGATGGAAAGAGGATTTGAGACTGGAGCTGGGGGGAATAAAACTGGAAAAGTGGATCATAAAGAACCTTAAATGCCTGGCAAGGCCATTGGGATGCGATTCTGTAGGTAATGGAGGTACACGATGGAAGCTGCCCTTTTAATAACAAGATCAGTCAGGCCACATGTAGGATTCAGTTGGAGGGGGAGAGACTGGAGTAATTTTCCCAGAACACCACTTTCATCCTCTTACTTTCCTTTCTGTTATCTATAAGATAAATTCAAGTGTGATGTGGTGGAAAGAACATGGGCTTTTAGCCAGCCAGACACTCAGGAGCTGTGTGACCTTGGGCCCTGCCTCAGTTTTCTTGTTTGTAAATGGTGGTAATAATATTCATCTGACAGGGCTGACCGGATCAGGAAAAAAACAGGAAGCAACTAGCACAGAGCTTGGCACGTGAGAGGTGCCCAATCCCTGGGTGTCTCTGCAGTCCTTGCGGGTTGTTGAATAAGAGGTGATGAGGAAGTGAAGAGGAGGAGCAGGGAAGGACCAGAGGGGGCTGTGAGGCTGGCCACATAACTTGGGTGCCAACTGGGGGGCTCCTACAATGCTGGGATCTCCCCATGAGATTTAGGGCTCCTTGACTTCCTGCCCCTTTTCTCCTGAGCCCCTGCAGAGACCCATAGCAGGGCGTAGGTATGTGCAGAGGGAGTAAGAATCTAAGTGCACTGTGTTTCTCTCCACTTCCTCCTGAAAATGGATCCTCTCTTGAGAACAGAGACACCAACCACACTGTATCCAGGGGGGTTTTGCCCAGCTGTGTGGTTTTGTTCTGTGGAGCTCTTGTGTCTTGGTTGGCGGTTGTGGTCAGTTTTGAGGCTGAGACAGCCAGCCAGAAACAGATGCATGAGGTATAATGAGAGCTTACATTCATTGACACTAC